AAAAATAACCCCAACTATACGTACAGTATGATGGGGGCTAATTTGGCTATGAAAAATCAGGAAAGAGATCTTGGAGTTATCATAGACAGTTCTCTGAAAACTTCCACACAGTGTGCAGCGGTGGTCAAAAAGGCAAATAGGATGCTAGGAATTATTAAGAAAGGGATAGAAAATAAGACAGAATATCTTACTGCCCCTGTATAAAACTATGATATGCCCACATCTTGAATACTGTGTACAGATGTGGTCTCCTCACCTCAAAAAAGATATTTTGGCCTTGGAAAGGGTTCAGAAAAGGGCAACTAAAATGATTAGGGGTTTGGAACCGGTCCCATATGAGGAGAAGTTAAAGCAACTGGGACTTTTCAGTTTAGAAAAGAGGAGACTGAGGGGGGATATGATAGAGGTCTATAAAATCATGAGTGATGTGGAGAGGGTGGATAAAGAAAAGTTATTTATTAGTTCCCTAAATAGAAGAACTAGAGGACACCAAATGAAATTAATGGGTAGCAGGTTTAAAACTAATAAAAGAACGTTCTTCACACAGCGTGTAGTCAACCTGTGGAACTGCTTGCCAGAGGAGGCTGTGAAGGCTAGGACTATAATAGAGTTTAAAAAGAAGCTAGATAATTTCATGGAGGATAGGTCCATAAAAAGCTATTAGCCAGGGGATAAAATGGTGTCCTTGGCCTTTGTTTGTCAGAGGCTGGAGAGGGATGGCAGGAGACAAATTGCTTGATCATTGTCTTCGGTCCACCCTCTCTGGGGCACCTGGTGCTGGCCACTGTTGGCAGACAGGATACTGGGCTAGATGGACCTTTGGTCTGACCCAGTACGGCCGTTCTTATGTTCTCATGTTATTGATGTATATACTTCATTCTTTCCTTCCCTTTATATGCTTCTATATTTCTCCTGGTAAATAAAACATACTTTGATTGTTGGTTCATCTGTTATGACGGTGTCAGACAACTATTATGTATGAGTCTAGACATAGCAAGATATACTGGATCAGGAATAATTAAACCCAGATAGGTAGTTAAGTCTGGGCTCCTGATTACCTTAACCAATCAGGTAGAAGCACCACCAGTTAGTAGATAAGAAGCCAGGTTATTGAAACTCACTCCACCTAAAGCAGAGTAAATTAAGTAAGGGCTCTAGTTGATGACTAGCTGTCTTTAAGGGTATGGAGATTCATAAACCACTTTATCAGGGGAGGAGGAAAGCAATTCCCACGGACAGGACTTGACTCAGGAACATCTTTTGAGGAAATTGCAAAAACAAAAAATTGACAATGCAAGGCATTTTATTATAATAGATGTTGAAAGACTTGAACATAATATAGAGGACTCAAAATATTTTCTAACATTTACAGAATAAAGGAAAAAAAGGTGATTTCCCTCAGTTCTTTTCATTAGTGTCAGGCTCCTGCATATACATGAGTTTCTATGCAGAAAATATCCACTGTTTCCCTTAATTTATTCTACTCTACTCTTATTCTGTGTCCCATCATAGTGGTATCTTAACACTGAAGTGTAATTCTACAAAATACTTATTTCTTTCTTAATGTTACTAGTGCCGAGGAAAATTCTCAAATGTACTAAAGCACATCTGTACTTTTTCATAACTTGGTATCTTGCAAACAAACAAACAAACAAACAAACAAACAAACAAACAAACAAACAATCACCAGCAAGGTGAAGACTCTAGATATAGCTGAGACAAGGGTGTAGCTTCCTGTGGAGAATTAAGCAGGTAGCTAAAATCCCACGATTTACTCTCACTGTGATGAGGATGGACATTGATAGATGCTGGGCCTACCCATTCTCCTCTTCTAAGTTTTTAAAATAAAATTTAGCAAGTAATTTCAAATGGACTTCTGCCATGATGCTGTGCAATGGATTATCAGGTGTTAGTCACTGGGCAGAGACAGAGTGCATTTTGACCTACTAGGAAGAAGAATAGGTTGGAGAACAGTTACAATGTATTAGGAACAAGACCTCCTCTCCTCTCCTCTCCTCTCCTCTCCTCTCCTCTCCTCTCCTCTCCTCTCATATGTGCTGTCAAAATAGTTTTGGCAAGAGTTGAAAAAAAATATATCACAATGAACAAAACCATCAATTGCATGTATCTACTTTTTCTACTTTGTACCCACACTTGTGAACATGTAATTTTACACTTTTTCTTTACACCTCCAAAAATTAGAGGGAGGAAAGAGGTACAACTAATGATAAACTGCTACCAGAAAGAGAAGAACAGGTTCTAAACCTTACATAACACTATATGCATACATTATATGCATATAGGAGTAAGGACAACAAACCTTTGCTATATCAAAGAAAATTACATCCCTTATTGATCACATAGTTCATTAATACTTCCAGAAAAAACTACCACCTCCCTCCACCCAAATGTAACGTATGATATCTCGGCTTTCAATGAGGGTGAAAAGGATGGGTAAAGGAGACTCCTTCAAGATTTAATACATATGAAGAACGTTTTTATTTAAAAATGGCGTGAGGGAGT